TTTTAATTTTATTTTAATTTTTTTAAATAAAATACATTAGTACAAAATTTTTCGATTCCATTGGTCTTAATAATGGTTTAATATATCATTTGATTCTTATATTTTTTTTTAAATATTTTTCAAATAGATATTTTAATTAAAAAATTGTAATTAAGTTTTTAATTGTTTTATATACTTTTAATTTAGTCTCTAAGTTAAGATTTGTTTACAATTTATAAAATTTCACAAAATATTTTTGATGCATATGAGTGATGATATAAAATAATAATCTAATATGGTTGTCCAAGTATATGTGGATATTAAGAATATTTTCAAAAATTTTATAAACTGTAAATGAATTTCTAACCATAATACTAAATTAAAAAAAATAAAAATCATGAAGGATATAGTTACAAGTATTTTTAGTTTAAAAACTAAATTAAATTTTTTTAAAAAAATAAAAATCAAATAATATATTAAACCTTTAAATATTCGTTTGTTTCTTATGGTTTTATAAACTTTATCTTTTAGTTCTTTATAGCTAAAAAAAAATAATTCATTTTAATTCATATATATATATATATATATATATATATTTTGGTCTTTATAATTTTATAAATCTTACATATTTTTTTATCATGATAAATTATAAAAATAACAATAAGATTTAAATTTAAAATTACGTACATATTATCTTAACAAAAATATTATCATAATCATTATAATTTTTTTTATATGCATAAAAAAAGAACCTATAAGAAAAATCCTTTATATATGTGTTTAATGTAGAATTTAAGGATATGTTTAATGAAAGAGGAAACATTATCCTTGAATAACGATTATCATGAATCATAAACCTTGAAGTAACTAGAATTTATTCGGTTCATAAATTTTGCTAAAAATATTTATATATCTTATTTGTAAATCAAAGATGTATTTGTTTAATTTTAATAGAACTTTATCATAAACTTTAATTCTTTCTCATATTAAAATGAGTTAATAAAAATAATAAACATAACGGTAGTATTTTTATTATAATTAATAATGTTTTTCTCGATTCAAAAAAGACAAATTACCACCTTTTTCACAAGAATAATTGTATGTAAAACATAAATAAAAGAAAGTTTACAAAAATATTTCTAAAAGATATTATTTTTTTAAATAATAAACTAAACATCAAATAACATCTTCAACTTCTTAATATACAACTTTAGTGCTTTTCCCAATTCCTGATCTTGTTCGAAAATTAAAGAGTTGGGGCTTAATCCTTATGTTACTTGTGCGTAAGTAAAATAACAAAGTTTTATAGAACTTGTAACTTGTCCACTGCCGTTGTACCCTACATTGACCTTAGCTACAATATAATTTCACATTAACAGTTTTACATTGTTTTTCCTAAAAAATTGCCTTTTAGTAATTCGGATATATACGTCTTCCAGTTCTGTATCTATTAGAATGAGATAATATTCCGTCAAAAGAAGAATGAGATGGTGTGACAATTGCTTATTCCTCAATCCTCGTTCCTCAACCTAGTCAAACATGCATTAGTATATTTGGTGGTCTACTTAACCACACCAATCCACTTCATCATTGTAACTATTATATGCACTACTATTATTTCGTAAAATTGTATATATGATATTCAGACTATACCGTCTCATTTCAAAAATGTACCGGTTATTTTTTTCATACATTTTTTATTACACACAATTGTAGAACAACTATGAATGGCTTGCCCGTAAATACATGTATTTTATGTTGCAACTTTACTCTGAAAATAAATAAATAATATAACTCTTACCCTTTTAGTGTTTGATGATCAATTGAACATTTGATATTCATTGAATTGTGTAATTTTTTTTTCTTTTTAAAAATTATGGTCTATTTACCTCTAATTAGAAAGAGAGGGATAGAGAGATGGTCAAAATTCATCTTTGTTTATAACATTAAACACAATGAGGAAAAAACAACTAACATGAATTTAATCAATCGGCATTTGGTGTCGAAGTCACACCACCATCTCTTTTAAACCCTGGTTTTCTCTATACGAAAAGAACAACAAAACAGAGGAAAAGGAGAAATACCCCCTAATACAGGGAAACAACAATGAACTAGGAAAAATTACCAACTATAGTAACAAATTCAATAATTTTGATTTTGATAATCCTAACATAGAGGCAGGTCCTCCGGAGGGGGCTCTATGGATTGCAACAGGCCTACTCCATTATCCACCAAGAGCACAGTCGCCAAACCCCACCCAATGTGAACATCCAAGTGACAATGCATAATCCAAGCACCTACAAACATCACATCAACCAATTAAACTTCATCAATAATCAAATAATTGAAATTTTCCTACAAATGCAATATTAAAATCAAACAAAAAGAGTTCAATAGACCTGCATTGGTAAAGTATCACACTATTAATCAATCAATATCGTAAAAGTCATTAAACTTATCATGATGTCAAACAGTGTAAAAGAAACATTTATGTATTTATTGTAAAAACAATAATTTTATACTATGATCGAATCATAAATCACTACATCTCAGAATTTTGTTAAGTTTTAAAATAAATAAATAATGAATTTTACCAGGGTTGTCGGCAACAAATCTGATGACAGCCCATCCATTAACTGGTACTGCGACCGTGTTCCTCATGGGTGGATCAACAAGGTTGAACTTAGAAGTATCTTTCTTGGGGTCAAAGTTCCCAAAGCCTTCAGCGACGATGTAGAAATCGTAGCCATGAAGGTGAATGGGGTGGTTCTCGGGGGTGACAATGCTAGTATCCTGCAACACAATCTGCACCCTGGATCCAAACTTCAACTTGGTCACCTTAGTCCCGGGAACAGGTTGCCACAGAGAACGACTCACGTTACCGGTGTAATCAAATTTCAGCGGAGGCTGCGTGGGGAAATCAGCCGTGAACACTCCCTGCACTCCAAGGTGGTGCGCCTGCAAGATGGAAACGTTGCTGGGGAGAATAAACGACACGTTGTTCATGCTGGCGGTGAAACGCGTGCCGTTGGGTCCCTGGCACTGGCTCTTGCTGAAATTGGGGGGGCAATTGTTGAGTCCGAGGCCAATGGTGAAGAAGAGGTTCTCGTCGATTTCGGTAGGGACTTCCACCTTTCTGGGGCTTCGGAAGCTTCTGCTGAAGGAAGTGACGGTGTTGGTGTCGTTGTAGGGTGGCAGAGAAGGCATGAGGGGTTTGATCGAAGAACCTTTAGCGGGACACGGGGCTGATTTGTATTGGAGAATGGCTGTGGTGGTGGTGTTGTCAAACGCTGCGTTTTGCGCGGATTGGTAGGCACGTGCGGCCATGTAGTAGCGTGAGGGGGGTTGGTCACCTTGAATGAGAACATCGGTGGTTTGGCCTGGTCCTAGCATGATGACGTTGGTCGTGAAGGGTTTCAGGTACGAGGCGTCCGCACCAACCACCGTCAGTTTGTGGTTCGCCACGCTGAAGAATAAGGGTTGGTTCAGTGCTGCGTTGATCACTCGGAGGAGGTTCGTCTCACCAGAATCTATCGGAACAATGGTGGTTCCTACGTCATGTCAAACAAAATCAATGTCACCTTTGTCAAATTAAATTATCATTCTACGTACTAACAACTTTTTTTTTTCTGTCTTATACTAGTGGTTTCCTATGTGTCTAGAATCATGTTTCTTTGCCCAAATATACCTTGGCTAGAGCACTTGTAAAGATCGCCAGGTTGACCATTGATAGTATACGCATCAGAAATATTGGGTGCTGCTCCTGTTTGTGTGGCTTGTCTCACGACATCGATAGGGTTTGCGTCCCACCATTCCCCTAATAATAATAATCATTATATTCACTGTTAAACCATCTTCATCATGTGCATAGTATTTGTTGAAGGAAAAGGAAAATAGCAAATCCCATAATATCATTTTGTTAATCATCTCCTCCACGTTTTCATTAGTGTACGTCATCATTATTACCTAGAAGAATGGGTGTCTCGCGCTTGGGCTTAGGGAAAGGATATGCCTCTCCTTCTTTGGGGTGAATGATTAAAGCACCATAAACAGTGGCTCTGAGCCATGAACTATGAGCGTGCCACCAAAGTGTTCCCTCTTGTCCTTGAATGGTGAAACGATAGGTGTAACTTTCTCCAGGACGAATGGGACACTGAGTCACAAATTCTGGTCCATCAGCCCATCCTGTTCTCATTTGTCGAATTCCGTGCCTATATACAAACAAGAAATTAACAAGGGGCAACAAAAACTCTTCCACTACTCAAATATTTTCTTTCTAAATGTTCCATGCATGTAGCATGCAGTAATGTGTTGTCGTTCGGAAACAAGACTAATTAAGGGAAGCTCTTGCATTTAATTCTCACAAGTGCTTTTAATGTATATATGCCCGCGAACCATGACCACATGTTAAGAATTCAAAAATAAAAGTTTTTATTAAAAAACATATTATAAAAGTTATTCAATTTCTTTGTTTTTGAAAGAAAAATTGTATTGCACTAAATATGCTAGAGATAAAAAGAGAAAAGAAAGAATATGTATAATAAGATAATTAATTAATGTAAGAGGAAAAGATTGATAAAAAAGAGAAAATAATGTTATAAAAGATATGGTACTAATATGAATTTGCTGTATGATCAAGTGACTTTTTTAAATAATTAACAACTTGATTTAATAAAGTATATTTAAGAGTGAAAGTGAAGCAAAAAATGCCAGGTTGCTTTGTTATGATACCAGTGAATGGTCACATTGTAACGAGCTTTGTTAGTGACTTTGACGACCAAGGTGTCTCCATTGTTGACTTCCAATGTTGGGCCTGGGAATTGTCCATTCACTGTGATGGTGCTGTGTGTGTTGCACAGCCTCTTCACTGGTGTTGCTTGAATCTGTGTTATTAAATGGCAATTAAGTTAATTATATCTTAGCAACAAAGGGACACAAGAAAGAGAAAGAGAAAAGGAAGTGATGGAGGGAAAGAAAACATACAACAAACTCATGCTCTTGGATCTTGGCGTTGGCTGAATACAATGCTGAAGCTGAGACAACAAAAAGGGCTAAGAAGAAGTTCTTGAGAGCTTCCATGTGTTTAGTGTAGCAATAAACAAACACCTATGTGCCAATGATGGTTAAGGATGCAAATTGCAATGGAAGTGATGGTGGGAGAGGATGCTTTTATAGAGTCATTCAGGTTGGCAGATTAGGTTTTAATTGTTAAGGCAAATTGGTCAGAGGCACTCTAAGAAACTTAGTTCAACCCTATTAAAGTTGTTGCACCCACTAGTTAATTACGTTCCTGAATGCTTGCTTCTCAAGTCTTCATTTTGAAGTTGAATTTTCGCAAAGCATAATTACTTTGTGACTGTTCAGGAATATAATAATTTATTAAGATGGGTTTTAATTAATAATTGAACTCCTTTTCTTGTCTATTGGCATTTTACGCGTTACAATTACTATCTCGATCAACTTTTGTTCCTGTAAAAGTATACGACATTTCAAAGGGACCACAACTAAAAAGCATAGCAAAAAGGTTTTTATCTTTGATGTCCAAGTCAATATGCATTTTTGTTGTCAAGCAGTTACCATATGGCTTGAAATGGTTTGCCTGTAGCAAACTACCATGTAATTCAATGCAAGTAACCTTGCCCCGTCAAACATCTTGCAATTTGTTTTTATCTAGTGATCAATTCTTGTTATTTGGGATTGAGTATAATTTAATCGTAAGCCAAGTTTCGAAAAGTGCAAATTAATTTTGTGTTAGTCCAATTTGACTTTTTTTCTTGTTCCGGTGGTTGGAGAAAATAAATCACTTGTTAAAATGATCGGTAATCGTTTTGATGAAAAAGTAGTACACATTAAAAACAACTATAACTTGATGCACTTTGTTTAGTCTAAACACCCTGTTTCACAATGTTATCCCCACTTAAATATTGCCTTGATATATAATTAATTAACCATTAGATTAGTTTGAAGAGGCTGTTTCTTAAGGTCTGGATCTCTTGTTAAGCTGTTTTTCTTACCCAGACCCTCTTTTCTTCCCCAACTTGTTTAAGTGGCTTGTTATCCAAGATCTTTTATGTTATGATACTTAGGCTAATTGTTTTGTTTAATTATTTGCAAGTAGCTATTGATAGGAAAGAAACTAACATTTAAAATAATGTAAACTATGGTACCGCCATTAGGTATGTAGCAAATAAAATAGGGTGAAATTAACGTGATTTGATTGGGTCCAACAAGAATTTAGTTAGAGATACTCATGAAAAAAGCATCTTAAGATTGAGTATTAAATTAGGTGGCCTGTCTCCCAACATTTCAAACGTGGATCATCAACGGGGGAATTATAACACACAAGCCTGTCATACTCAAGAATACGTACTTGGATTGGATGTATAATAATCAATATCATCACTTTGAGCCAGGGGGTGAACACCATAGTGCCACATGTTAAACAAAATGAAACAAGTGAGGCTTTTTCCAGATGTTTGACCGTGTGATGGAGGATTTTTTCCCCTAATGATCTGTTTGTTATCTAACGTAATAATAACCAATTCAGATTTTCAAAAACTAAATATTATTAAGAGTATTGATAAGAATTAAGTTTGAAAGGTGTGTCATGTTGTTCAAAAAGTTCAAGACTTCATATTCAAGTGCTCCCAATAGTCCCAACTTATATTAGGTCATTGAACTCCGAGATGCCATGTTAAATTGTGAAGTACAAATCCAAAAAGAGCGTGTTTGGAAATTAAATGTCACATTGTTCAACTAGGTTTATATGTAGTTGCCCAATTGTAACTTTCTATTATCTTAGCCTCAAGCTAGCTAATTTTTTTTTCTTTGTATTTTTTGGTCGAATCGGTATAGGATGCTAAGTCATTAGACCCTGCTACATGTTTCATGTGAAGTACAAGTCCAGCAAAGAAAGTGTGGTTGGGCAGTTAGTATTTGAGTTTGGGAGGTGTCATATTATAAAATAAAAAATAAAAAATTGAATTCAACCTCTCCAACTTATATATACACTTTAAGTTTCTCTAGAACAATATACAATTTGAATGGGTCAAGTATCTATACATCGGAACATTGATCTCACACAAAATATATTTAATCATTTGACTTCTTTGATGATATCTTTTAGCATCCGTGTATTAGCTACTATGGACCCTCACAAGGATGAGAACCTTCTATACATGAATGCAAAGGAAATGGTAAAGGTTAGACAAGTCTATTTCTGAATCCGTCGTGACGCGAATCGATGGTACAATAATATAAAAAATCTTAAATCTCAAGGAAGATATATGGAACGTTTTCGTCTAGTAGTATTCTCACTCTATATGATCTATCTTTCATAAGAAGGTATAGTGCCTTTGAGTTGATGATAACAACATCTAACCAAGGCCCTCAAAGATTAATTATTTTGATTTGTCACAAAAACCATTAGATGCTGAGAACGAAAGCATGCATATCAATCGAGGCTGAGTATGACAAAGCTTAACACAAGATAGAGAAACCAGATGACCAATTGGATAGGTGAACGAGAAATAAAGAAAGAACATCATATATGAAAGTTGGTAGAGTTTGTTAATGACTTTCTCATATTCTTGAAATGGAGAAAAAATAGAAAGTACTTCCAAAAGTCGTTACTCGCAGTGTGAAACAAAAAATAAAGCAAGAAAGCTGAAAATTGACACAAGAGCAGAAACCATATATATCCTTGTCAAAATTTGTTGGTGCTTGGTCTCTCTCGCAAAACCTTTCATTTTTTTTTTGTTGGTAAAAACAATCATTTCCAACCTTGTGTTCATTCTTGTTTGGTTTTTCATTTTGGGGGTTGGTTATAACTTACAAGTGGGTGCGAACCTGAGCAATTTTAATTCCACGTCACACGTTTTCTCTAATCCAAAATAATTAGAGAGATTAAACAAAAAAAATAAACAAGAAATCCATCACTTTCCATGCCTTTACCAGCAGCAATGGGGCCTTCTCAAAGACCACGCTCGAAATGATGTGTTTCCTTTCATGTAAAATGCACATGTTACGGTAATGAAGCCATAACGGGTTTTGGTGAGAGAATATTTGCAAGTTCATCGAACTCACCAATAATGTTGTATGAACTTTTATGTGCATGTTAAATAAATTTTGAGAAAAAAATTATTTAAAAAAAGGTATATGTGGAGTAATATATGAAGAAGTCTTTTTATTAAAACCTGACATTTTTGTTTCACCTAAAACTAAAACTTTATTAGTCTTACATTTGTGTGTGCTCGAACATCTATATTAGAGATATTTTACATACACTGTATTATACTTAATGTTTTTAAGACTAGATTGATTATTAAATAGTTTAGACATTAATTTAAAATTTAATAGTTTAATTATAATTGAATTATAATATAATAATAATTATTACTATCAATACTAAAATAATATTAAATAAATATAATATTATGATATTATAATAATAAAAATAAAAATAAATTATTATTTATAAATTTTCAAAATTTAATGTGATAATATTTAAGTTCCAAATATAGTATTTAAATCTAAGTTTTGATAAAATATAACAATATCAATTAATATTAATAACAAGGTTTACATTTAAAATAAAACGTATCAAATTAATATAATATAATTTGTAAATAATACTAATATTAAAAATTAAAAATAACCATAAATAATTAAATTATATTTATAAGACAAGTATTAAAAATAAATTATTCAAATTTATAATTTTAAATATGTATTTTTATTTTAAAAAAACAGTTTAAATTAAATTTTAAAATAAAAAATTTAATTAAACTAGTTTGATCAATTTTTTATTGGTTTTTAATTGGTTTACTGTCAAACAATTTTGAAAACCAACCGAATCAGTTATGAATCAGTTTCGATCAAATTGATTCAACTAACCTTCAATCCGATTTTCAAAATCATGATTATACCTTAATTAAAGCTTAAAAATATATTTTCTATTTTAAAAATAAAAAGATATTTAAAAATAATATCCCTTGTTAGTCTTTTTTAAAAAAAATATATACTAAACAAAAAAACTAATAGTTTTTATTTAAAAATTTTAACAAAGTAAAAAAAAAATTAAAAAAAAAAACATCTCCTAATGTAAATATTTGAAATACTGCTTTTACATATAAATAGGTAAGGAAAACAAATGGATTACTGAAAACAAGAGAGGGACTTGGACCCATGGGATGATCACTGAGTGAGATCAGCAGATCGCCAGTATGCAATTAAGCAAATATATTGATTAATTAACATTTATGCTCATGATAAAAAGGAAAAAAAAAAAAAAAAAAAAAGTAAAAGGTTGAAACATAATTGAGGCCTTTGCACACATGCCATCCACCTTCCCAATGACATCTCACATGAGTCACATTGCCCCATTGTTAACCATAAAAAAATGCTTCAAGAATCATAATCACCACTACTCATCAATGACTTGTGATTTGTGAGTTGTGTGTTTGTCTGCATCAAGCAGATCTTAGTTTTACCCTTCTATGCTTTTCACTTTTACTATTATCTACTTGACTAGGAAGTTCCCCCACCATTATCTTAACCTTTCACTATATATGTAAACCTTTATTTTCAATTTCCCCTTCAATGCATCTTAATTAATAGTTCTTAATTAACACGTGCCATCTTTTTCTCAACGAGTCCAGCTTGCTACCTTTTGCTTTTAACATGCACATATGCTCTCTCATGAGAAATTTTAGGAAATTTGTGTCTCCTACATTTTGTTGTATATGGATAAAAGCCAAACCACTATTCCTATATTTGTCATATCAATGTGACTACTTGCCTAACAAATAGAAGTCCAACAAGTGTTTTCTCCGGCACCAGCTGAATTATTTTGAGCGACAAAAATCATTGTACCCCACATCGCTTATTGACTACTTCCTCTATATCCATACATAAAAAAAATAAATTTTTAATTTTTTAATTAAAATATAAATAAATTTTAATTAAGTCAATTTTATTTAATATTGTTAAACAAAAAATACACCTAAAATAATAAACGAGAACACTATCTATAGATGTAGTTAAGAATATTTTAATAAATATAATATATATTCCATGTGAAATCATAAAAATCAAATATATTTAATTAACTTTTTAATAAAAAAATGTGTCTTTTTTTACTTATATATAAGTCTAGAAGTAACATTAACATATCAATTAAAATGTCAATATGCTAATTTGACATTAATTATTGGTCACTTTGGTTTGATAAACAAGGAATTGAAAGATAGGGTAGAAAGGAAAATTTGTAAATAAATGTCCATTCTAATCTCTATTAAGAACTGGTTGGCTATATTTAGTAAATTTTTTTTTAATTATATTTTTTCTATTCACAAAACTTAAACTCAAGACTTTATTTAAGAAAATCAAGTTTACTACTATTAACGTTAACAATTTATTGATAAACAAAGTTTAAATATAATTTATTTATTTTTCATAAGTCTTTTTTAAATGTCTTATTTGACTTGTATAAAAATATATTCTCTTATAAATTTATTAAAAGTCTATTTCACAATAAAGTCTACATAAAAAAAACCAATAAGTTGAACTGTTAGACTTGAGATTTAGCCAACCAGTCCCCTTAAAATACTTGTTAAAGAATCAACAAGTAAAATGTTTTTATTAAAAATTACAATAAAATTATACAAACAAATGTGGAAATACATTCTCAATATCAACTTTATACGTTTAATCATTAGGTTTATCACGACTGAAAAATTACTACTATGAAGAAGCTACCAGCACCATAAATACAGTCACTTGCCAAACAGGCAATGGGCTTCATCCTTTCAAACAATCAAACAAAAAGCTCAATGGCTCATCTCCAAAGTAACACCCTTTGAAGAATTATTACACAGGTAACAAGATGACAAAAGTTTCATTTCAAATCGGCATTAATTAAAGCAAACATCTTCACATGCTCATCTTTTAATTTGCCCATGATAAAATGTACTAATTAATTTTCTCTCTAAGATTTTGTAATGAAAATGTCATGCCCTAATTATTGCAATCATTATTAAGAGGAATACACTAAACATTGATAAATGCTTTCTTTAGGCCAATCAATGACGACACGAGATAGTATATATATATATATATACCACTTAAGCGAGGCACTTGCATAATTAATAATATTTTTTATATAAAAAATAAATAGTTTAGATTAAAAGATATGTACTGTTATTATCATTGTTTAATTTGTAACTGATCAACTGTGACTACTTTCATCACTATTATTATCATTATCGTTGTTGCAATCATTACCACTATTGTCATTAATACATATTTAAAAGGCTTACATAATCAGTATACTTAAATAAAAAAAATCAAATTATATATAATAAAATAAATAAAATGCACAACAAATTTGTTACACAATAAGTCACATATTATACATAAAATAAATATGAAGTGACTTAATTAAATTTATATTAAAAATAATAAATAAATAATTTTTAAAAAAATAGCTTAACGACTAGCCTTGCCATTTGGCCCAAATAGCTGGTGCAACTGGCTGGTTAGCTAGAATGTTTGGTCTAGCTTGTCAATTTTTGACAGGCCAATGGGTTGACCTGCCAGTCATGATTCGTTTTGCCTCTCCTATCTATTACATTTGTTGTTATTACCACCATCATTGTTGTTGTCATCATTATCCTTGTTAGTGATGACAATTATTGTGATGGAAACAACAATGGAAATGGTAATGTAGCAGCAACAATAGTGCGGTGATGGAAACAATTGCAATGACAATGGTGACAACAATTATGATAAAACTATGATGATGACAATATGTAGTTGTTTTATTTTTAATCTTTTAATCCAAGCTTGTAATCACCACCACCATTACTATTGTTGCGGTGGTGGTTCTAATGATGATGGTGATTGTGGCTATTTGTAATCTTTTAATCTAAATTGTTTATTTTAATTCAAGGATTGAAATCAAATATTGTCATTCTCGCCTAAGAAAGTCATTCTCATGTAATATGTACCATATTAGGGTATATGGGCTTAGGTATGCAAAACTTATGGTTTGATTAAAATTGTATTTGTTATACCGTAATTGTTTAGTGCCATAATGATATTTAGTCACTTAGCTATTTTAATTCTTAACTGGACAACCTGTTGCAGTTAATGAGATTCCGTAACACTCACAAAATACAAAACAACCCCAAGCATAAAAGATGACCACACAAAATCAATGAAATAAAATTAATACAATAGATGTTTATTTATTTATTCAAAAATTATTTATTTATTTGAGAGTGAAAGTTCTATTCTTCTTGCTCTCTTAATTATATATTTAATATTAATCATATGTGAATCCATAAGAAATAGAGTCATTAATGATATAAAAAAACGTTGAATAACTTTAAAATCTAATAATCATTATTTATATTTATGACTAAAAAAAATTAATTTATTACTTATTTACCAAAAATAGTAATATAATTCCATTAAAAATAACTTTTTTCTTATTTAAATATACATTTTATACACAACCTCTATAATTAATTATATCTTTTTTTTTTCCTAACATCTCAAACTACTTTTCTTTTATTAACATTTATTTTTATCTTTTTTTACTTAACTTTGATAATAATAATGATTGTTGAGTTATAGATGATGACAATAATATTATTGAACGAGGTGATGAATTAGTGTAAGTATAATATTATAATAATAAATATTTTTATATTCAAAATAAAAAGTTATCATGATTTATTGAATAAAAACATAAAATTTTTATCTTGTTTTTCTCCCTTTCTTTTGTCATGTCACAATTTTTTTTTTTTGTAAATCAAAGAGGAAACAACTATATTTAACAATTAAATACCATAATTTTTAACAAATCAGACCCTTGCTAATAAATCTAAGTTATTCAAATAATTTACCCATTACAATCTCTTAATAACATGGTAGTAGTCTATTAATCCACAATGACCAACATGTACCTAATAAATTACAAAGATTATACCCACATACATCGATCATATCTATCTTCAAAGGACTTAGTGACGTTTTGCAACCATAACAGGAACAACAATTGTAAAATAAAGACATGTCAGAATTCGAGACCTTTTTCTTTTTTTTTAAACTAAAAAGAGATCGATAGTAATCAAAGATTGCAAGTAACAACAAACTTGAGAACAAATTAACAATAAAAACAAACAAACAAACTTGAGAACAAAAAAAATGGCACAAGAAAATGTTGCATTGTATCCGCGAGGCTGAAAACAGTGCCCATAGTTTCGGCCTTGGCAGCTAATGGTTTGGGTTTGTTCCGTTTCCGTAAGATAAAGGCGTTACTTGGCGACCCTCATTCATAATTCTTACACGAGTTGACTCACCCACCAGCCCGAGTCATAACTCGCTCACTCCTCTTCGCCATGATTTGTAGCAGCGAAGCCTCATAAGCCAGATCCTCCAAAATGATGAATCACGATTACTCCGAACACCACCAAATCCTCCACGCCTCGCCGGACGATGGAATGGAGTCTCTCATCCTCAACGACGACGACGACTCCTCCGTCCACCCACTCCGCCCCACGCCGCCGCAAAGCCCTAATTCCCCTTTCAATTCGTTCCTCGACCCTCCCTCCTACGCGGAAGCGATCTTCACCTCCTTCGACTCCAACGGCCACGACCAAACCCTAGAAACCCCCACCCGATCCGGCTCCGACTACTTCCTCCACATCTCCGTCACCGATCCTCAGAAGGAGCAGGACCTCGCCGCCTCCCTCGTCCCCGGCGGCACCGCCTTCTACACCTACCTCATCACCACGCGCACCAATTTCCCCGAATTCGGCGACTCCGCCTCCGAATTCTCCGTCCGCCGCCGCTTCCGCGACGTCGTCACGCTGGCCGACCGCCTCTCGGAGGCCTACCGGGGGTTCTTCGTGCCGGTGAGGCCGGATAAGAGCACGGTGGAGAGCCAGGTGATGCAGACGCAGGATTTCGTGGAGCAGAGGCGCGCCGCGCTGGAGAAGTACCTCCGGAAGCTGGCGGCGCACCCGGTGATCCGGCGGAGCGAGGAGCTGAGGCTGTTTCTGGAGGCGAAGGGGAGGCTGCCGCTGGCGAAGACCACCGACGTGGCGTCGCGGATGCTCGACGGCGCGGTGAGGCTTCCGAGGCAGCTGCTGGGGGGAGAGGCGGAGCTTGGGGAGGTGGCTCAGCCTGCCAAGGGTGGGAGGGACTTGCTCAGGATTTTCAAGGAGTTGAAGCAGTCTGTTACCAATGACTGGGTTGGGAGCAAGCCCTTGGTTGTGGAGGAGGATAAGGAGTTTATGGAGAGGAAGGACAAGTTGGGGGAGTTTGAGCACCATCTTAGCAATGTTTCTCAGCAGGTTTACTGTTTCTCTGGTTTTGGCTTTATTGTTTGTTACTTGATTATGGTCCATTTGAGTAATCAGGTAAACTAAATGCTTGTTCAATAAGTTCATTGTAAGCTTAACTAAGTGCTTATTTGGTAAGTTTATCATAAGATTAATTATGCTGCATTATTAGCTTAACTAAGTGCATTTGGGAAATGCGCTTTACTAAGCGCTTATTTGGTAAGTTCATTACGAGATTACCTATGGTACATTATTAGCTTAACTAAGTGCATTTGAGAAATGAGCTTAACTAAGTCCTTATTTGGTAAGTTCATTATAAGATTAACTATGGTGCATTGTAGGCGTAACTAAGTGCTTGTTTGATATGTTCATCTTAAGATTAACTATGTTGCATTATAAGCTTAACCAAGTGCATTTGGATAATGAACTTAACTGAGTGCTTATTCAGTAAGTTCATTATAAGCTTAGCTAAATGCATTTGGGTAATGAGCTTACCCAAGTGCTTATTCAGTACATTAATTATAAGCTTTTGGCTTCCATGTTTGTTAGTTGACTTTGTGCATTTGGGTAAGATTCAATACGCTCACTCAATAAGCTTAGGTTCAAAAGCTTTTGTGAAGAGTATTGAAATAGTTTAAAAGAGTTTGTGAGAGGGTTTAAGTCAATTTTGAGCTTATAATTGAAATAAGTTAAGAGTTAATCATCTATACACTGCCAGTGTAAAGTTTTTTTTACACTGGCAACTAATTATATATTTTAATTGTGTCATGTCACTATAAACACATTTATTTTTAACAGTGACATTACACAATTAAAAGATATAATTAATTGTCAGTGTAAAATTTTTTTACACTAGCAGTGTATAGGTGATTAACTCATAAGTTAATGAAACATCTGCTTAAGCACTTAATTATAAGATATGCCTAAATAAGCTCTGTAAAATCACTTCCAAACACTCCCAATGTATGTTGGATTAGCTTGTTCCGGGGAAATAATAGCTCTTTTTAATAGATACTTGAAAGAGATTTTGATGGAGTGAATTGAAAAACATTTCTTTTCAAGTGTTACTGTGATTATTTTATTTTGTTTAAAATATGCTCCTTTTTGGGATTGTGTTACTACGTGCATTTTTGTCATGTGGAACTGAATAAGAACGGTGTTGTTTTTTCTTCTTTGATTACTGAGCTTGATTTTGTTTATCTGCATTGATCTGCAGGCCGAATCCCTTGTCAAGTTTCAGCAAGACATGGGTGAAACGATGGGTGAACTAGGGCTGGCTTTTGTAAAGCTTACGAAATTTGAGACAGAAGAAGCCATATTTGAGTCTCAGAGAGTGCGAGCTGCTGACATGAAAAATGTGGCAACAGCAGCTGTTAAAGCAAGCAGGTTATATAGAGAGCTGAATACACAGACAATCAAACATTTGGCAAGTACATATATTCTTATGATATATGATAGAACATTTTAGCTTGCTTATAAATCTACGGTGGAAAATATCTAGATGATAGATGTGTTAACATCCTAATATATTCCCTAACCTTTCTGTTGTTGATGATGTTGCAGGATAAACTACATGAATACCTTGGGACTATGCTAGCTGTCAACAATGCATTTTCTGACAGATCAAGTGCTTTGTTGACTGTTCAAACACTCTCATCAGAACTAGCTTCTTTACATTCACGGGTGGAAAAACTTGAAGTTGCTTCATCCAAAATATTTGGTGGAGACAAGTCTAGGATGCGGAAAATTGAAGAGTTAAAAGAAGCCATTAGAGTTACTGAGAATGCTAAAATTTGTGCAGATAGAGAATATGAACGAATCAAGGTAACATTTTACTAACCTATATTTGGATTGTGCTCTTCCTTCTTTATCCTCCTGCACATTAACTCACTTTCACTTTCAGAACTGACTTTTCCATATTTTCTTTGGCATACTATTCAATGCATGTCTCCATATGTGCCATATTTTGAAGATTATTATCTTTATTTTCTTTCCTTTCACTTGTGCAGTTATATTAGCCTAGGGAAAAAATTTGACACACTATATAACTCGGTGCCTGAGTTTGATATATTTATTAAACACCTTTTTACCCCTTGTGCAAAATTGTCAATGAGATTCAGTAAAATTGTCCTAAATGATCATAATAAGTATTATCATCATTACACCTTGACAATAAATTAGACTTATTATCTATATAATGCAAGTTATATATAGACAAGTGTCAACTGTATTTTGTTGCATTTGATTTGTAAATGTTTCAGAGGGCTTAGGTTGCTTCCATCAAAACTCGTCAAACTTAGTAGATTTGGTCACAGATTCCAACTTGAGTTCTAAATCTATTACTATCTCAATATGTAAAACCCAATATTTTAACAACTGAGTCGGTTATTAAATTGGGGAACAGGTGCAAAACATGGCGTATGGTGCACCGGTCTGATTATGGTCAAGATGAATACTATGAACCTATTTAGATAAACTTTTTCATAAGCAAATGAAATAAGTTTTTTTTTTTTAATTTTTAATTTTTAATTTTATTATTATTATTATTTTTATAATGTAAAGCTAGCTTATGCATTAGTTAAAATTAAGTTTTTGAAAAAGCTAATATGAGAGAACTTTTATAAATTAACTTATGTATAAGTTAAAATTTATTTTTCTTTCCTATTTTTTTCTCCTAGGAGTTCTATAGTGAAGTTTGTCCAAACAAACTGTATATATTTATTGAACTAGTCCAATAAACATATATATACTTTTAAGGCTTAAATATGTTTAATCCTCATGAAATGAGCGAGTTTTGATTTTAATACTTATAAATTTTTTTCTTTATTTTTCACCTCTTCCAAATTGGAAATAACTATTTATGGTCCTAATAAAATGAGAAATTTTTGGTTTTTGCCCCTATAAAATATTTTTCTTTGATTTTCATCTCCAAAATTTAAAAATGAGTATTTTTATTTCTTAGCCTTTAATTTAAGGTAGACAAATAACATTTATTTTACAGATCTAAAAAATAGTTTAGAAATGTCATATGTTAACGTAATACTACACACACTAGCAAGTTTCACTTAAGATATGGTCACTTGACTTTCTATTAAACATATTAGCAGTAGATGATATCAAATAATAGTAGAGACTAAAAACAATGGTTTTAAATTTTAGAGGAATGAAAACTAAAGAAATTATTTTACAAGGAGTAAAATCAACAGTCGCTTGCACATTTTACAACTAAAAGCATATGTATATTATAAAAAGTTTAAATTAGGACAAAATTGTTAGTAGATGCATCCTATGAAAACCGAAAATTCAGTTGATTAAGTCTGTTAATTTAGATAAAATAGTAGATTCCATAGGGTGTCATTCACCTGCTCAAAATACGCTGATTCATCTTCGTTGGTCACAATTGTGGTCGTGGATATTAAATCTGCTTTTTGGCTGCTGTCAATAATGCAATCACAAAATACTTTTGGGTCGCTTCAATGGAACTAAGGGTAAATTTATGAGTCTCATCAAGTGAGAGGATTGTAGAGTTCAGAGGGAGTAAAATTTTCACTTTTCAATTTTACTTTTTTGTTAAGTCATATATGCTGGATGGTCCTTTCATCCTTGTCAAATAGATCCCAATTTTTCAGCTCAACAGTTTGTTCCATTATCTCTTTGTTTTGCTTGCTTTCTGTTCTCCAGATCAAGATGTGATTTCCTGATGTGTTGTTCATATTAGTTCAATTTGTATTTTTATTAAGAAAAAACAAAACATCAATTAAATAATTTATGGAGATATTGCTGGGAAGTCTTTATCATGGGATATTGTGTCAAAATATCACGTGTTGTCTTTATGTTTGCAGGAAAATAATAGGAGTGAACTTGAAAGAATTGACAAAGAGAGGAATAGCGACTTCCTAAGCATGCTCCGAGGGTTTGTTGTCAATCAAGTAACGCTCTTTATATTCTATTTTCTGTAAGCTGTTACCTATATATGGCTTTTATCTTGTAATTGTATGGTTCAGAACAGTAACTATTATACTTCATCCATTTTACAGGCAGGCTATGCAGAGAAGATGGCAGCTGTGTGGGAGAAGCTTGCGGAAGAAACGACTGCTTACTCAAGAGACAGCAGCTAAAATGTACTTGGCTGTAAATTTTTGTTTTCGCCCTTTTTATGCAGTAATTCTAGATTTTGGTTACATTAATTTAATCCTATGTAGTTTCATATTACCATTAGACGATTTTTCAATCGTATGTATATTTCTGCACATATCTTTTTATTTTTGTCCGAGTGTCCGACATTCAAGAATTCAATGTTTTAAACTAATCAGCGTTGTAAATATCTGCACATATCCCATTTATTTTCGTATTATAAATTAATTTTAAATTCTGTTTTGGCCGCCGTCGACCATATAACCGTTAAAAGGTTGACCTATTTAAAACCCATTTAGTTTGCTTGGTTCCGTTTCTGCTCAGTTTGCTTGGTATTAAACTCAGTTTAGTTTCCGTTTCTGCTCATATCCCTTTTATTTTTTTTTGACATTCAAGAATTCAATGTGTTAAAAACTAATCAGCGTTGCATATTCTGCCCCCCCCCCCCCCCCC